AAGAAACATACTACTTCTTTAACAAGTCTGACAGCCTTTTTTGCAGTTTTTCACCTTTCCTGACTGTTTTCAGTTGTTGACCTTTTTGGTCATTTTAGTCAAAGTAAAAACCCCAGATGACCTCAGATTGACAAAAACTGAAACAAAAGAACAAGAATTCAGTGTCAATGGCTTTCTTGGCAATTTCGTGACATTGATTTATTCATAAGGGTTTACTTACAGCAGACTGCATGTGTTATGTGTGAGGGGATGCCCACTCTGCCATTTGTACCAGAACTGGACAAAAATGGCAAGCCAAGAACTACCTCTGGCACGCACTCCAGCAACAACTGACCGAACATCTCTTCGGGTTTGTCGAGGTACATTTTGGAATATCCCCAAGCGGCAACTTCATCCAGTGTTCATGAAAGAGGTTATTTTTTGAATTATACAGCAAGATTGAAATACAAACTTAGAAAAACAACTAACCACTTCCGATTCTTGGTCGGTTTCTGTTACAACCATAGAAGCATCAGTTTCCGAGTGAGATTGTTCATGTTCATCCATCGTTATGATTTAATTTCAGTAAACAAACAAACAGGTGTCTGAAGCGATACTAGATAACCTGAGAATAAGTCAAACCAAACGAAAGACAACCCCGCTACCCCTGACCGCTGGATTTTTCATACCTGGAGTGCCGTAGCGCCACTGCGGCGCTCGTTCAAACAGCTTCACGAGCCGCAGGACTAAATATCGTAAATTTAATCATTCTATACATATTTAAGGTTACAAAGTGATAAAATAAGAAGTGAGAATGCCTCAGAAACAATTTACGCCATGTTTGAAGTCCGTACGTACGATATTTCGGGAGTGGCGACTTTCTACGAAATATGGTGCTCCTGGCCGGGTCCGTGCATTGAAAATTAGATCCATCGAGATCTCAGTAATCCTACATTATTTTGAAAAACCGTAACCTGATTTGGAATCTGCAAGAATCAAACCTTGGCGTAGGCTAAAGCGTCAGACCGATGGGAAAACAAAAGTATTTTATTTTTCGATCTGAAAACAGAGGACGCTCCGGCGGCCATTTTGGCGACTTCAAGTTTATCTCATTCTCTCTTTTCGAGGTGAGTACAGAAAAATCACACCCTAATATTCTGATTCGGCATGACCTATAGAACATTTGCTTCGCTGGTGGTACACAGATTAAACGTGTCTTTAACCACGAAAAAAATGAAAATCCGCCGCATCGTCCCGTCTCTGGACCCCGAAGGTCGCGTTCAACTCGTATTTTAAAATGTGTCCGGTCCGATTTGGTGATTTTAGTTTACATCGTTAGATTCCTTGTTCTTTTTCCTTTCCAGCGCCGCCGTATGTGAGAAGTTTTTGAGAAGCTTTGGTACATGAGTTATGATAAATGGAAAAGGTAGCTGCAGCGCGCGCCGGCCGAGCCCCGACCCAGCGCCGCGGCGGAGACAGTGCGTCAGCCCGGCCGTAGGGAGTTGCTACCGGCTGCTCACGCTCGGTGACACGCGGCGTCGATGGCGGCGGCACGCCGGCAGGGCCACGGGCTCAGGTGCCGGAAGGTAAAGCTGTTCCGTACGGGCCACGGGGAACGGCGCAGGGGAGGCCTCACGGGCGCTGGCGGGTGCTCGCTGACGATGTGCGGCGACGGCTCGACGGGCACACGGAGCTGTAGCGGCCGCCACGGCAGCAACAGGGTCACGGAGCACAGGCGCGGGGCGGCACGGGCTCGGGCACGGGCAGCCGGGG